TAATTTTCAATTCATGAATACAAAAAAAAGTTAGCATTTTCCAAGTATTTATATGTTATAATTTCAAGAATATGCTTGTTTTAAAATATTTGTATGGCTTATAAATTCATAAAGAACACTAAAAAATAGCCAAAATTAAGCGTTGGGTGTTCATTCACTGGTAAGAGCTGTTCCTTCACTTGGTCTTTTTACTACCTGTTATTTGAACCTCCAAAACTTTAAAACCATATTATATAAGTTCTCTACAATTTTTTTTACGTAATTTGCAATTAGTAACAAATATGTTGACACTGTCATTTAACTAAAATTACAAATTTTGAAATTAATATGATATTTTAAAATGCAAGCGAGGCTTAAGTGTTCCTTCACTGGTTAGTTTACCCTAATAGATATGTTTCAGGATTCGGTGACAACTATTTGAGTGACTCTTTAAACTTTTTGCTTAATTCTCAAATGAAAGTTTGGTGTTCATTTCACATCTGAAGAAATAATTTTCACCTAACTTTTCCAAAATTGGATCGATTTAGCATTGTTTAAAATGGAGTCTTCAGTGCGTAGCTATTGATGATAAAATGTAAATATGATATTCTATCCACTTTCAGCTGAATTCAATTAAAATATTCTCCCAAACCAGTTCTCTGATATTTCGAAAGTATCATGCCAAAATTCTACAAAAATAATTAAATTATCTTTTTAGTAGAAACTATGTTTTCTTCCTTTAATTTAAATAATTACTTCTCCTCAAATAAGAATATGTCATTTCACTCCATTTTATCCAGTTCTGCAGTTAGAATTTCACATTTGTAATTGAATTTATCCGCACTCTGTTTCAAAAGAATTCTTTAATTTCAACTTTGTCTGATAACTAATTTTTCTTGTTTTTAAAGATGCTGACAAATGTAATTAAAGAAATTGCTACTGGTTCTTTTTTTGTCCAATTTTAATGCTCATAAAACTAGAAGCAAAAAACTTTATTTAATTTATATAATGGTTAAAATTTCTTAATGTTTTTACGCTTTAAAAAATCTATTTCATAATTATATTTTTTCTTTCATGAGATAAATAAATTGGAAGAAAAGTTAAGTGATAAGGAGAAAACTTTTTTTTTAAATGTTGAAACGAAAATATTTTGTTAGAGACATGGAATGATATGAATATTGATTAACATGATTAATTAATTAATTAGCATTCATTATGAATATGGATTAACATGATATGAATTAGCAAATGTAATAAGAACATAAGCATACATAGATCGAGTCAGAAATATTTAAAATCTAATTAATTGTCTATTGGGCATGTTAGTCTGCATTAGGCGGATTAGGCGTGCATGGTCTAAATAAGACCATCACAGGCCCGAACATCTTTTTGGATTTCATTCTAATAGAAACAGGCGACTTTACCGATTAGTAATCTGCTTAAAACATTATATTTACAACAAAATTAATCTAATAAAATTTAAGTTGCAGAGGAATTCCGATTTTATGTTTTCCGTCCGACTAGCGTTAAAAAACGTACGAAGTGGAATAATGTAGAATCGGGGTAAAAGAAAATGTAAGTATATTTTTCAAAAATTGACACTTCTGAGATTAACTACTAGAAAAAATGTGTAATTTTAATAAGTGTTTTGTATTTAGATACAAGTTCAACAGTATCATTCTCAATACTTACTATTATTTTCAAATTTGCCTTATGCCAAATATGCTGTATGGATTCTGAAACATTCGCAAATGTTTCAGAGTGTTTATGCTTTCAAATTCTAGTTTAGTTGTGGGTATATCCTCCGATATTTTTTGCTCATCTTAACCGTTTTCATCAATATGATCGAACAAATCAGATATTGAAGAAATTCAAAAGTAATGGGATGTATCTTGAAGTTGATATACACTTCATCGACTTTGGAGGACCTTCAGACATTCAATTTTATTCTGAAGGGCCTATGTTCCCGTAAGATATAGAGAAACAATTAATCCCGAGAAGCTTTATTAAAACCATTTGTAATGTATTTCATTCCACACTGTCCAACGCTGTAGAAATCTAATTCAGAGCTCCTAGAACATTTGTTGCTGTTGTTGTCGGCCATTAAGGCAGAGGGTGTGTGATTATTCGTTTTCCAGTGGCTCCATCTATGGCCAGGAATTCGACTTCTGCCACACTCATACGTAACAACCGTTTATAGGGCGGACCTCCTACATCAATTCATTCATACACAGATCGTAATTTTAACCTGAACCAGAGAACGATCAATCTCCAATTCAGTGCCCCCAGATGTATTGATTTGTTTTGGAAACATAAAGGACTTTGTGATCCGACAGATTTAACGTGCACCAGTCACCATTTACTACACGTGGAGTCTTCGGCCGGCTGGATTCGAACTCCCGTCCTCACAAGCGTGAGTCTAGCGCCCTGCCAACCAGGCTTTCCCGGCCTTCAGAACATTCATTTTTACTTTAGAAGCTTCTTGTAGGTCATCGGAATAAAGAAAAAGAAATTATTACCTAACCAATTTAGTGTAACGTTCTTTAAATTATTGGATAATTGCAAGATTTAAAGGTTGAAGTTAGCTAAAAAAAATTTCCCTCGTAAATTTCACAATTTAAGCTTCATACTTTTTTTTCCCTATCAGAGACAAAAAAAAACAAAACAAAAAGCAGTAAATAGAAAGAATGTCAGAAAAGCTACAAAAAACTAATGAATAAGTCTCTTTTTTTTGAAGAAGAAGAAAACTTAGAGAAAGTTTGTGTCAGCTTTATAGAGAAAAAAAAATGATTTTGATCGGTTAGAAAAACGTATAAAGCGGTTTTTCCTTAAAAGGGTAACGTAAAATACGAGATAATTTAACATTATCGGTAAAGGAGATTTTCATAGACCAGCAGAAAATGACGTTGGAAACCGGATAATTTACAAAACGAACAACGTAAATACGGGGTTTCACTGTATCTACATTTTTATTTCAAGTTTAAATCAAAATTGTTCAAAATTATTAATAAGGAAGTATTAGATATTGTTAACAAAGAAGTATTAGGAACTATTATGCATTGATAATAAGCATTATATAAATAAGCATTGAGTAAATGTAGAGCATTCTCGTTTTCGAAGAAGTAATGTTGTCAGAATTCTTGCGTACTATCGGCAAGTGTGTGTCCTTCAACATGTTACTTGAAAACGAACTTATAAACTTTTATACTAATTATTTCCTTATGCACAGCAATTGGAGTTAACTTTTTTAATGAAATAATCGTAACCAGAGAAATGAAAAGGTAAAAAGAAACTAATTTTGAGCAATAAATACTTATTTATACAATTAGATTCTCGGTACCCTTTATTCGATACGTCTGAGACCTTGGTAATTTTCAGAATTTAAGGAGTGCTTAAATGAAAAAATGAAATAATCTCTCTCTCTCTTTATATATATATATATTTAGATACATATACTTAAATTCCTACGGCTTCACTTGAAATTACTGTTTTTAGTAAGNCATATATATATATATATGGGTGATTCTCACGAAATATGACAATTTACAATATCTTGCTCCTAGATCTAATACTATACTACTAAAAGAACTTTTTTTTAAAATTTTAATAAAGAGCATTTCTATTAGTATTTTAAAGTGACTTTGCATTAGCATTGACTGTTTTGTATACTTATTAATTGAATTTCGAAATGTCATTATCCTGGCATATCACAAACAATATTTCCAATAATAACTAGCTTCAAAACTTCCCACAAAATTTTCCAATATCTAATTTTTTTTTATCTCAACCACTGTAAGCATTTCTAGAATGTATGCAGAGGGTATTATTTACAAAAACTATGTTGAAAATAATTTTTTCTGTCAATAATTTGTTTGTCACAAGAAAATCTGTCATTTTCCTGGCTACTTTTATTTAGTGATTTATAACCAAAATCGATAGCGCCAGCAATCAATATCCTATGTTAATAGATTGATTAGAATACCATCCTATCTGAACATGTCTTATTGCGTGAATAAAGAACCAACTTTCTGGTTCAAAATCTATTTCAAAATATTTTTCAAGGTGCGTAGGTTTTCATGTTGTCATTTTCCTGTCTTCTTGAAATCATTAATAACATAAACTACATAGATTTACCTGAGTTAGTTCAAGTAATCCTGTTGTTTTCTGCGGAATATAAACATCTTAGGTCGAAATGTTAAATTTAAGTAAAGTAAAATGCTATATAAGGTCAAATTATCATTATCCTGGCTGTCCTTTTTCTGGTTTATGAATGCCTGAGCATTGAAACAGTTACCAGAAATTTTTTTAAACAGTTGAATGTAAGGAGAGAAAGCAAATATTAACCTAATGCAAAATTTATGTAAGATTGTAATATGCTTGAATGTAATCAGATTTAATTTTTTTTATACTTATTAATTATTATACACAATTTTATTCTGTACATATCAGCAACAAAAACATTTTTGAATCCTTCTACAGTGGATAAAAGAATCAATTTAAGCAATTCATGGTCCATCTAACGCAAAGGCTTACGCTGAGTTACTTACTATTAGCTTAAAATTACTGTTTTTTTAACTTCTGGGCTAATATGTTCTTTTCCTGGCATTCAAAATTTGGTGAATTTCTATTTTTTTTTCTTGAGCAAATATCAATGAACTACACTGCTGTCTGTAAGATATTAATAAATGTAACTAAATAAGTATACAAAAAAAAATTTAGATTTTTTTGAAGACTTTAAATTTGAAGAAATTTTTGGCTTCGAATTGTCATGTTTCAAAAGAATCACCCATATACCAGTTACGTTGATGATTTCACGTTGCATCAGCATCTTAACTATAGCTTAGATAAAAACTTTTACAAGTTATTATATTGTTTTGTAGTTGAAATTAAGATCCAACAACTCTATTCTTCATCATAAAAATGTTTTTTTTTCCAACGGTTTCAAAGAAGACAGACAGCAAAAACAACATAGATAAATTATAGTTTCAAAGATATTTATTATTGTATAAAAGTTTCCTTACCTTGAGACATTTGAAATATTATCATAAGAAAGTATGCTATAGACAATCCTGAAAGAAAAATGAACACAATTTCAGGCTCTGTTTTATAAAAAATTAATATATTTTCTTTCATTATAAGGAAATACAAACAAGAAATACAGTGAATTTATTTCATTATTACAATATGAATACATACATATTTATTTCCGAAATAAACATGATAGCGATTTGATAAAAATTTAAAGTATCAATTTGGTATCAATTGGCAATTTAAATTTTTATTTCTTCCTTCTTTAAAACTTAATTTATATTTAAATTTTATTTTATTTTATAACCGTCGTTGAACAGCCGACCCAATTTCATGGGTTTACGACTACTTACGTTCAACTCCGTAGCCTTGTAATTTTGAACCAATCCAGAAGACAAGGAAACTCCTGGATCAGTACACCCAGAGGTATTTATTTGTTGTGGAAACATGGAGGACTTTGAGACTCTACAGATTTAACGTGCATCAGTCACCATTTACTACACGGGGAGTCTTCGGCCGGCGAGGATCGAACCCACGACCTCTTGGATATGGGCCCAGCGCCCTACCGACCAGGCTATCCCGGCCTATATTTAAATTTGGGCCACTTTGGGGGTCACTTTGCCCCATTTTGGCACTGAATTCACCTAATTCCAGAAATGAATGAATTGTTAAAGTAAGAATTCGCACATTCCTGGGACATATATTCCTCTTTCTTTTTAATATATATAAAAATTAACTACTTTTCATTTTTTAACGTAACTGAACCATAAACATATTTCTTTATAGCTATTAGTTTTTGACATTTTCTTTTAAATGCTCTTGTTTCTTGAAATATAAATTAATGCGTTTCTATTGTTTTTATGTATATTCATTAAATAAAGCTATCTATTCAAATAAATGTTATATTTTGAAACAAAATAGCCCAATATCGGTTTATGAAAACTCAACACCAACAATTTATAAAAACATATTATAAAACATAAAACCATGTTCAAAGTGAACACTTATTCACACGTTTATGGTCATGCTGAACAGTTTGAACATGGAAACAAGAGCGAAATAAATGTCCAATTCTCTCCTAGAAGAATCAAGGACTTTTAAAGTTCCGTTCTAATATTGTGGAAAAATTCAGTGAAATTCACAAAAACTTTAGTATGATGTATGTCGTTATTGTTAATAGTTTGAATGTAAATGAAATGCATTTAAAACGTTACCCACATAGTATAAATCAACCTATAATTCATAATTGATAAAATCTCAGTTTCATTAATTGATAAAACCTATAATTCATAATTTATTTAATCTTTCGGTTGCTTCTATGAAATTATTTTAAGTGTAAATGCTAATAAAATAGGAATGACTTTTTTTGAAAAAGAGAATATATTTTGATTACAATATTTAATAGATTAAGAAAAGAACGAGCACTGATGAAATATTGCATTAGTATTTCCTATGGCGCTTTTTAAATCAAAATAAAATAACTAAATTCTTTAATAAAAAAATATGTTCTTTGATGACCATTTTTACCATTTATGACAGTTTTTTTATAGATTTCATTACTAAGTAAGCAATAATTTAGCTTATTTTAGTCATTTACAGCTTACGTTACAAAACAAACATCAAAAACCAATTCATAATTATAAGACTAGAGGCAGCACAAGGACCGCAAACTGTTGGACGTAAAACCTAATTTAAGATATTAAACAATGAAAATTCTTCATTCCCACAATTAAATATTTTGAAAATAGTCTTCTATAGCAGGGGTTTCCAACTTACCTGAGGCAGGGGGTCGCAATTAAAAACACCACTCAAATGACGGGCCGCGACTTTATCAAAATTTAATATCGGACTGTTTTATGTTTGTAGGAAGTTGTACAAAACAAAGTATTGAATTACAAATTAAAATACGAAGTAGATTTTTACCTGAGAAATAATTTTTTTTTGCACCGTTGGTATGTTAAATTTCCCAGAAACGAAGAAATTAGGTTTTTCTTAACGAAGAGAAGTACTTTAAACCCATATAGATTTTTACGAAAATTGTCCGCAAAAAATGACAACTAATATATTTTAGTTCGCGGGCCACAAAAAAAGGCTTCAGGGACCGGATGTGGCCCGCGGACCGCCAGTTGGTAACCACTGTTCTATAGGTTATAGTGTTCTCTATTGCCTTAATAAACTTGATTTATAAAGTCGGGGTACAGTCGAAAGAAGGTTGATTATTTAGGGTTCCGCAGTCAAATAAGATTGGGAACGGCTGGGTTTAGGCTTATTCAACAAGTATATTTATCATCAGTTCAGGCCTATTAAAATTAGCGTGTTACACGATAAAACAATAAGCAATCACTACTGAATAAAATTCTTTGTTTTTTTTTAGCCATTCGCGGTTCGTGTAATTTAACTTTTATAAAAATTACTTTATTTAGTAATTTGAGCTATTTCTCTCACTATTTTGCCAGCTATTTTCTATTTAAAAATACACGCTCCTTTATTTAACTAACATTTAAAATATTTTAAATTTTTAGGCTCTCAGAAATTGCTTTTATATTTTGTAATTGCTGAAAAAAAACATCCAACAAAGAAAAGGATGAAATAAACTTGGTTTAAATGAAGCAATATTTTTAAACATTTTGACAAATAATTTGACAGGAAGTTAGAGTTCCGTTCATTAAGTTTCGTGATAAATTAATTTCTCGAAAATCTGATCCATTAATTTGCCATATGCTTATTTTAGCGTTCATAAATCATAACTTTATTCAACGGTAAAAAATGTAATTAATGACTGAAGGGAAAAGTATTGAAAATTTAACAAATTGATTGTCATTTTATCCGTCACATTTCTATTGAATTTTTGGTTGAAAAACATTTCCCTCAAAAAGGGAAATTGATTTATATAGTAAAATATCGTTAAAAATTATGTACTGAATATTTTTAAGAGAGCAAAAGTTGATAAATAACAAAAATATTTCCTATTTGGAATTCCGATAAACTTTTAATGGTAAAAATACTTTATTAAGTCAATTAATTTTTTTTATTGCAAATGAGATTTTTAAAATAACTTTATGACTGAATTCTGATAGGGTTAAAAACTCTGTCCGAAAAGTTTCTTTTTTACTCTAAATCAGTTTTACTTTGTGTTAAAATGCTTGTAATAAAATCTTTACATTTTTTTTAAAAATATGCTTTCATTCGTAACATTTATTCATATGTTTATGAATATTGAAATATAGAAGTGTTCATTTATTTATATGTTCATAAATATAGTAAGAAAGATGTATATTTTTAATTAATATGTTCTTTCTAATATTAAAAATATAAAATAAAAGTTTGCTTATTTATTCATGTATACAGATAAATAGTAAGACAAGAGAGTTTTCATTTTGTCATATGTTCGTATAAATAGTATTATACGAATGCTATACGTTCGTATGCTATTAATGTCAAAAAGTAAATTGCTCTAAAGTAAAGATAAATTTTGAATACACGCACTTTAATGTAATTATTTCAGAGTATATACTGTAAAAAGTAGTAATCAAAACCATGCTAATAATGCTTTAAAACAAATTACTTTAAAAGCAAGATGCAATTTGTATATACATAGTTTAATGTATTTATCTAAGAGCATATTTTATTCACAATAATCAAAATTCTGATAGAAAAGTTTTAAATTAAATATCTTTAAAAGAAAGATATATTTGAGAAATATTTATTTTAATGTCAGTACTTAAGAGTAAAAAATATAAACAATAGTTATCAGAATGTTGCTAGTAATGTTTTAAAATAAATTACTTACTTTACAAGAAAAACAAAATTTGATTATACGCATTTCAACGTATTTTTTTAGAGTATTGAATTTATAAAGTAATACAACATATTTCTTGACGAGTAATTGTTATTCATAATATTTCTTAATAACTTTAATTTTTAACACATTAAATTTGTACTCTTAAGACTTAGATCTCTTATATTTTAAACAATTTGCGATATGTTGATTAAAATGAATATTCAGAAAACGTAAAATCAATATTACAACTATACTAACAGATATTTCTATTAAAATATATCTTATAATAGTTTATACTAACTATACTAATAGTTATCCTCATAGCAAAGTATTATAATAACTGTTGAAAGCAAATTTTATTTGGATAAATGGCCACTATGCAGAAATTCACAATAGACTTGTAAAACGCTAATATCAATTTATCTAACCTAATTATGTAAAATCCTTGTCAGCCTTAACTTTTTGAACTCAGCGCTCATTTTTATCAATTTATGCGAATAGGAAATGCTACTAATAAATTTAATTAGATTTTAAGAATTAGATTCACAGAGAAATGACGTGTCACTACTTACGCTTGCATGTAGCATTAACAATTTCAAATTTTTTAACCATTTTTATCAATTTGAGATAATAAATTATAGGAATTCAACTAGTTTTAAGAATTGGAATTTAACAGAAAGGATATGCTACAGTATAAATATGATTTTTTAGTAATAGAAGGACTGATCTGAAATGTTTATGCATTATTTGAATCATATAGGGTGATTCGTAATTATCACTTTTATTATATATTTTTATAATCTTTGTCAAAATTAAATTCTAGCAGAAAGCATGCACACTAGGGCTATTAAATTAATATTTAAACGAGAAAAATACGAAAATACAATCTAAATCTAAAAATTCACTAGTAAGGAAGCGGTTTGAAAAGATAAAAATATACTTAGTTACTGGATGAAACTTGAAAGTCTTAATAATTATCGTCCTCGGGCAATCAAGCAGGTTTTGATTTATTTAAATATACTTTCCCCCATAATGATACGTCGAAGAATTTAGTAGTATTTTTATTTTTCCTAGTTTAAGATATTAATTTTTGATCCTTAACATTTAATTTTTCACATAATTTTTTATACAAGAATTTAAAAACACGCACATCTTAATCAGGTTCTTTTCAAGTCCGGCATAATCCGAAATAATCCGGCTCTTTTCAAATAATGCAATTTAAAATGTCTCCAGTATTTCTTATTCAGACACATTTTTTAA